GCCTTGGTGCAGAATGGCAAAGCACTGAAAGCGGCTTATCGGCAGAATGCCAAAAAATGGAAAAGGTTGCACTGTGCCGGCCTTGGAGTGGCAGCCCGCAAAACTGTGGTAGCTGTTTACATGCTGTCGAATTGTAACATGGATCTGACTCTCCGCATGGCTTGTGCTTTGACAACGACGATATCCTATGGCAGCAATGGGTATACCCCACGGCAGCTTTGATCCAAGAGATGTTGCTGACGACGCCGCTGCCAGATTTGACCGCTTTGGATGACACAGCTTCACGCAAAGCGCAAGCCTTCCTGGCCGAAGCAGCCACGGAGCAGTGGGTCTATGACTGCAATACGAATCATGGTCAAGCACCTTCTGCGATGGACACGTTTTTGAAGTGGGAGGAGGCCTTCCATGGCCAGAAGCTGGACATGGGTGTGCCAAACAAACGCATGGTCAATAAGTGGGTGCAGCGCTGGCGGGCTCGGTGGGGCGTCCGCCGGAAGGTGCTGAAGCAAGTTGTTAGCAGAGACCCCGCTGTACTGCGCGACAAGGTGCGGGCCAGTCAACTTACAACATTTTGTCTTCTTTTTTTGGGTTGGGTGGCTCCATTTTTGGGGCCGGAATGTGGCCCCAAAAATGGGTCCCCCTCATGTTTCATGCCTGTATAAGCCTAATTAATCCCGGTTGGGCGGTCCCATTTTTGGGGCCAGAATCTGGCACCAAAAATAGGCCCCCATTTTCAATCAATTTCTTCCCTCGGAATTATATTTGGGGACCCTATATATAATAAGGCTTTGTCTTTCACTTCCTGCAGCGCTCGAGCAGGTCATGACATTTTGGCGGACCATCTGCTATTGCCACAGCAGGTTCGCGGACAGGGAGCTGCTTTTTATAAATCTGGATGAGACTAGCGTCGGCCACACCATGACACCGCCTATTGGATGTGTGGCAAAGCCACGGACAGCAGGGGGCAAACAGCCGCATGCACAGGTGCTGAAGTAACATGGTCGAGGTGCGTGGACTTATGTCAGCGTGATTTGCAACTGCAAGCACATCCAAGGGAAGTTGCCTCATTTTCTCATTGGCACCCAGGTGAAACTCATGAAGAAGCTCTTGCGCGCCCAGCGCGCTTTGCCACAAACTCGTTTGCGTGTTTTGCGGCAAAAGTCCGCTTGGACCTCTGCTGCCAACAGTGCCCAAATTCTCAAAGAGATCGCAGAAGTGTTGAAAACTTTTCCGTCAAAACAAGGCGTTGTACTTCTTGATTGTGCGCCGGCACACCTGCCACGGCAGGTCATGGCAATGGCACGCAAGTGCAAGCTGCAGCTTGTATATATCCCAGCGCAGACAACGGATTACCTACAGCCGCTTGATCTGCAAGGCTTCTCCCCTTTTAAACAATATTTGAAAAGGAAGCACCAGGAGTTGCGCTCATATTCAGAGCATGGTTTAGTGCCTCCTCTGGCCTGGCTATGGCAGTGCATGCAAGCCCCACACGAATTTTGGGCAGCTCGGCAATGGCAGAAAATCTTCGATGCAGTGGGCTGCAATGGCCCAGGTCAAGTGCACAAAGCGCTTCAACACTTGATGGGTGCAGGGGTGCCTTGGCCTGGGCCTGACAGGCCGACACCCCAGCAGATGCAGTGCGTTTGGCCAGCGCAACGCCAAATGGCGCACGCGTATAAGGCTCTTTTTCTTTGATGCTGCCGCTCCGGGTGGATCCAAAAGATTTGCAGACGTGGGTGGCACTATAGGACAAAGATTTTTTTTCCATAATACTGTATATATATACATAATTATATTATAACTATATATATATGAAATGTGCATCCCACGAGGAGTCTTGTAAGCGAGATTGAAAATGATTTAATGCTCGAGCTCACATGAATGATCATCTCAATCATGTCTGCCATTTTATGGATCAAGCCATGGGGGATTCCATGGCAGCCTTGGTGGCAGAAAGAGGCTTCCCACTTTGGGGACCAAAGTTGAAAATCTCCGGGGCTCAGAAACCAAAAGCGTCGCCCTGAATCCGTGGAGGCGGTGTCGTTTCAGAAACGCAGTAGCCCGGGCAGCATTGGATGTATATGGACTATATGGATATATCAAGTAGAATTACTATCCATGTGCGTACCAGACATCCCTCACCAATATTGAACATGGCTCCTTTTCAGGAAAATAATAACACAACGTTGGTCGTCCACCATTTCTGAGAAGACTCAAAGCAACATGAAAGTTCTTTGGAGCGTTGTGATTTTGACCACTGAAGATTCACGACTAAAATGGCTTGCCATCTTGCAATGTGTCGTCTGACAAGTCTGTCGTATCATCCCACCAACCTATTATAAGGAGATACGACAGACCTGTATGTAGTCGTCACATGTCGTCACCTATCATGACCTGTAAGACTTTACAACTGATGCTGAACAGGTCTGGCATCTTTACGAAAAAAATCGCAACAGTAAAGGCAAAACAAAAGCATAAATGGCCCACCAGGGCGGTTGCACCTCTGCCTCATCTGGTGGCGGCTTCTTTTTCTTCTTCTTGGGAGGAAGGATCAAGTCCTCTCAATGGTGCTGACATGGTGATATCATCCATTTGCCCAACTTTGGGTGATTTTTGAAAAGAACAAAACACATCAATACAATATCAATACCATATAGTGGATATTAGTGGATGTGGATGTATATATGTGTATAGCCAACTACCACATGTTCGCGTCGGTACTTGCCACGTACTTCACCAGTCAGCCGTCCGCAGTCTATGTGCACCTGTGACTCGCTAGCTTTGTTGCATCCTTTCACATAGATTCCACGTAGATAGGCTTGGTGAAGAACTGAAGAGGCTGGCACCTGCTGATCTTGCTATGTTTCATTATTTTTCTAGATCTTTCTGTACTAAACTAAACAATCCCAGTTTTGGTTACGGGCTTCTGATTAGTTCTGATTCTTGTGGGGGTGGGTGCTCGGCAAACTCCTCAGGAGGTCTCTGGGTGCATGTGAAAACACGACCGAGCGCTCCGACATTGGATAAGCTGGACCCAGATTCTTCATTACCAGGTTTCATTGCAAGGGTAGTAAGTACAGGTTTGTATCTGGGGATCCCTGGAAATTCATCTGACATGCATCGCTGCATCCCCCCAAAAAAATCCCATCGACACGGGGCAGCCCCAGTCCTGATTCTCCATCATGTAGTCCTGCCAGTGAAACAACTCTTAGACGAGGCTAGTTGAGCATTGGCACCACGCTCCAGAAACTTTGAGATGAAATCCCCCAATGGATCCAAGAATGATCGACCTTTTTTTTGGAGTTCCAAACCGACCAGAATTTAAGTCTCCATCCATCCGAAGATGGGAGGTCTCAATGTCCGTGGTTTCGAATGGAGGATATCAACATTAAAAAAAACACAAAGCTCGTGGGTTTCCCCTGGCACTAATGGCTATGCCTAAGCGACTTTTTCAAGAATTCAAACAAAAACAATGAATGTCAAATTGATCATTCTCGATGAATAAATATGAATAATTATCATTCACCCTGGAATAAGGCACATCATTCCAAATATATGCTTTGTTATCTTTGTTGACTCAAAATGTCACTGGATGTCTCGTCGCATGGCATGCAGCAGATCTTTCACCAGATCATATTCCATCTGCAATGCTGTACATCAGCTTGCTGTAGCTTGACTTACCCTCTGGTTATTTAACATAGCCATGGGAAATGGCCCATTTATAGATGGTTTACCTATTAAAAATGGTGATTTTCCATGGCTATGTTAGATAACCAGATGGTAAATATCCAAGATTTCATTCAGACTGTGTTGACACACTGGAGCGCATGCACACACAAACGTATGTTACATGTGCACATGTTCAAATCTGCTCCTATCGGCTAGGTTGGACATCATCTACAGAAAGCGTCCTGATCCTCCGACTTGAGTATACAATATACGTACATTTAATACATCAAATTATATACACAACCTGACAAAGCATGTCATCACAAACACTACCAACGTTCTTTGCCATCATTTAAAGTCTCAGCTCGCGCGTGCGCACTCCGCACTCAGCCAGCTTTCAGCACCTCAGACGTGGCAGGCAGGAGAGGAAGGTACTTCACCCCTCTGGGATTGTGACGGATTCTGCTTGTGACTGGGCATTTGGGATGAACATAAATTTATGGATCGCCCAAGTGAAGCTCCCACGTTAATAATGGTGCATGCTATACCTTCTACCCAGAAAAAAGGTGGTCTAGTGCCTATACTGGAAATCCGCCTGGTACATGATGTACAGTATATTATACATATAATATAATGCAAAAGAATAACAAACATATAATGATGATTAATGCTGTATAATGCGTATGCTCACTCAGCTGCATTCTACCCTGGCTCTCTTTTTTCAAGCCGCCACCAGGCGGGATCTCTGGACGTCGCAGAATTGCTCGTCCCTAAGCCAGATGCAACGTGGAGCTGACATGGAGCCAACTGCACAAAGGAAGGAACAACCCCACGGCACACCAGGTCCGGAAGTCTCCACACTTTCAGGTTGGTGGTTTCAACCAACCCCTCTGAAAAATATGAGTCAGTTGGGATGATGAAATTCCCAATATATGGCAAAATAAGAATTCATGTTCCAAACCACCAACCAGCTTTAGAAGTCAGTGGTTGTCCCACATTGAAATCCTCAATGACTTTTTTTTGTGATCGACTCAACTGCAATGAAACCCATCCTGGCCATCCAAGCTCGTTCTGCCAGTTTCAACCATGGACCCTCAATTTCAACCAAGCTTTACAAGACCATTATTTTACTCGATACAAGTATATATACTTTTCTATGTAGTGACACACTAATTCGTTTGGACTACCAATATCATTCCTAATATCATTCCTAATATCATTCCTAATATATATATATATATATCATTCCTAATATCATTCCTAATATATATATATATATATATCATTCCTAATATCATTCCTAATCATTTTTAATATATTCCTAATATAATTCCATATTTACCCAGTGAGACTTCCAAACCTTCAGCGAAGCTGTAGGCACTTGGCCGTCTCAGGGGCCACCGGGATGGACTCCGACTGTACAAGGCGTCACGGTGGGCAAAATTTCACGACCAGAAGCAACGCCTGAGTCGGCTGGAGCGACGATCCAAAACTCAGGGGATGATATCCATCAATGGTTTTTTCGGGATCCAAAGCTCTTATCAAAAGAGATCTGGACAGTCGGACAGGGATTCGGTTTACCAAATTTTCTGACAATGGCCATATGGCTGTATCGTTTGTAGAATGAATTCGGATCAGGGATATCTCGATTGAAACACCATTCCAGTGGGCTCAACTCGTTGAACATATGTGTTCGATCCCTCCGCGTCATTCTGGGCGCTCCTTGGGCGTTCAAGGCGGTCAGGCAATGTCAGGCATCCAGCAGCCACTTCAGTCCAGTGAGCCAGTACTTGTGTTGCTGCCAATATTGGGAAATCAAGTCCTGGAGGCTCGGAGAACCAGAACCATGACCATGGTAGAAGCCAGGTCAACTGTTTGAGCCCATGAACACTTTCCGCTGTTTGGTGGGACTTATGTGGGCTTTTTTTTCTGGGGGACCCCAAAAATCTGACGTGTGCAGTGTGGTTTTGCCTGAAAATAGGCTATCCCGGCTATCCTAAATCTTCTGGCTAGTCATCATCTCTGTTGAAAGGGTTATTAGTGATATACACCATTTTTAGACACACCCAAATATCAAACTATTGCTTATATTGTATATATGTATATATTATAAGTTTATATAAAATATCATCATTATATCATATTATATCCCATTACAAGGTTTGGCTACCCCCTCAAAAACCCAATGCTGGTTCAATCCTTACTTTTGATGGTGTAGTCCCCGCCAAAATTGGCTGCATAATCCTGGGTTCACTTTCCTCTATACACACAACTTTTGGTAAAATCCCTACTGTTTGACGGTTAAAGTCCAAGGTACATATACCCTCTTGCAATTCCACATGACTATGCAACATTACAATTTCCAAAAATCGAAACACATCGAACTAAATGGCCCATGTAATTTTCATAGCCATGTTATTGGAATGTCTACATACCCAATGCTATTTTCATGGGGGAATCCGGGGGAATGGGATGAATGTTAATAGTATGGGTCACCCCCAGTCCCTACTAAGCACCGGTGTCAAAAGCTGTGTCTCCTGTATGATTTTCTGCGCCTCGGCCCTACGCCGAACATCGGCCGTCACCGCCTCCGCAAAGCGACGCCTGGGGATGGGATGAATGTGGGATGGTCGTCCATGCCATGGGAAGCCCTATAATAGGTGTATATATAATATATTATAATATATTATATATAATTAATATATAATTATATGATGGCCGGTATAGAAACTGTGTATATATAATCATACAATGGCCGGTATATAAATCCCTATGGATTGATTTGCTTGATGACCACCTCTCAATATGGGTACTAGCAATCCTTCTTTTTAACCATGGCACACATTATTTTACCATGAAGATCCATGAAGATCTATGGAGGATGCGGTGGTTTTGCCGAGAAACATCGAGCACCTAAAGCAACAAAGATTAAAGAAAGGAATTCATAGCAACTAAGAAATACATCAGCAAGTATGGGATACCAGTAAATACCAGCAGTATAATTTGGGTTGCACAAAATATCACAAACCTCGAAAAACAAAGAGCAAATATGGATAGAATCTAATCATTAACAAACTGTGGGGGTTGACCACCTGGCACCATGGGAAACTGCAAAGTTATATGCCGTGATGCCTGTGGATTCAAACATTCACCCTCGTTGGGCATTACGAGCGACAGGGGCCCACCCCATTAGCAAACATGAGATAAACCGCTGGTATCTTCATCCACTCCGTGCCCTTTCTGAGAGCAAGTTGGCATCTTGTTGCAGTCACTCGTCGTGTCAAGGCCAAGGCACAATTTCTCTTGCGCTGAGTCTGGAATCTGCCCAGTCTGGAGCTTCTGGTAAAGAGCATCCAAGCGTAGTGTGACCTGAAAAAGGTGTTCCACATGTTTCGGTGGCCAAATCAAGAATCTGAAAGTCTCTCGGTCTTGAAAGGGCTATTGGTGTGAGTCCAAACCCTGGAAACCGGGAACGTCGCGCAAATAAACAGAATACTGTATCTCGATTATATTGGCGATCTCAGAAAATTCATCATATTAGCATATCCAGGAATAGTGTATACTGATGTATACTGAGTATACAGTATACTGGCATTATTTGACTGCAAAAAAAATATTACTGATCGCCAAATTTGCTGGATCTTAATCATCTCATCTCCCAGTTCTTGCGGGTCCTCGAGATTTTGCTCAGCAGTTTCAATAGATAGAATTCTACACCATCAACAAAGGGCGACCGATGGATATGGGTTTAAATTACTGACCCCAGAGAACAATATACGTTTTAAGTCTAACATCGCGATTCGTGATCAATTTTGTGGGTTTGTTGGTACCCTCCATACCTCAATGCATTGCCAATGTTAGACACCATGCAAACACAAGTTTAGCTGGTTCGTTGGATCTGATCTGGTTAGTAAAATATTCCAATTAATAGCAAAAACATAAACATGTTCATATACATATAGATCTATGTACGTATACATACATATTGTAGATTTATGAAGTGCTACATTAAAGTACCCATCCCAAGGTTCCCCGAGAACGGGGTGATATCACCTTCACCCTCGGCGCCATGCGCTCGCTCTATGTTTGGCACCTCGCGGTTCACGCACTTCGCCGCCGCGCGGTTCATCTTCTCTCTGAAGCTGTCGAGGTCTGCCATGGGAGTTCCGCGGCTGAGACCTGAGGAACGGCAACGGATGCAACGGCACGGAGACGACCCTGGCTATTCACGGGTGAAACATGGTGAAACAGACCATTTCTTCAACAAAGTGGGATTGTTTATATCTCTTCACACGTTACATATTGTCATCTTTCATTTCAGAGCAAACAAGGTGACACCATACATCAGGGACGCTATAGCTCTTGCCGAACTGATTAACATATGCAATGTGTGTGCATGTGTGTATATCAATGTATCATGTGTGTATATCAATCACCATTTCGCGCTGCTCTGCCAGCTCCAACCTTCGCAACAACCCGCCCCGCCCCCCCCGGTTGAACCGCTGGTTGAACCGCCAGACGCAGCTGACAATCAGCACAGCGCGTGCTGGGCAGCAAGGCCTACGGCGGCTCGCGGCTTCGCGTCATGGGATCATCCCAGCGGAGGCGTTTACGGGGATACCGCCAACAGCATCTGGTTTCATCAATGGTAATGGTAATTTAAAAAATTACATATTATCATGGTAATTTCGTGTCATCATGCAATTACCATCAATTGGGAATTTCATCAATTGAATAATGGGGAGATAATTGATAATTATTCATTTTATATTTTAATTAATTATGTGTCCCCATTAATATCCAATTATTCCCCATTAAATTCCCATTAATTATGGTGCTTCACACTTCCAACTTGGGCCGTTGGAAAAAAAACTGTCCTCCCGGAAGTTGGCACTGGCGCCCCCTGTCTTCAAGAACCAATGTCCAACTGGACGACCGAAACCCTACCAAAAATTGCAGACCCGGAAATACATCGAAAAAAATTGAGCTCTCAAGATCTTCAAAGCTGCAGCTTTTGGCTTCCCCTACTGCCGTTTCAAGAAGCTTCCTGCCGCTTCCAGCATCTTCCAGCCTGCTTGGGACAATCCAAGCATTGGCCGCGACCTCCAGCGTTGGGCACACCCCAAACTCGACCATGGGCATCACGGGATTCCTTGGGCGGGCAATGGAGGGGATCCTGTCAGTTCCAGAGCTCAATTCCAGCAGCCATAATTCAGACCCATGAGCAATCAGAATAACTGGCAGAAAATCAAAATCAGAGTCATCAAAGGCTCTCCTAAATATATCTAAATAGCCTACAATACATTTCTCTTCAAACAACGTACTGGTTTCTATTCATCTGGACTTGGAATTCATCTATCGTCTATCAGAGTCTATCACAACAACTGACCATCCCGTTGGACCTCCTTTCTGCGTTACTTTTTGTCAGAAAAGTTGTTCATTGTGTGTGGTCCATGTTTCTCCATGTTTTTCATGTTCTCCATGTTTTTCATGTTTTTTCATTCATCAACTCTACCTTCATGGTGTCTTTCATTCAAAACTCAAAACCAAACACATCTGACAAGAACTTCATGTTCACAAAGACAAAAACAACAAAGACTCACCAAACTGTCACAATATGCTTACATGAACATGACCCGTAAACCAACGCTGCTACTGCCTAGCTAGCCTAGATTCAGGATGGTTCAGGATGATTCAGGAACCATTTCCAAACTCAGTCCGTGGCAAGCAGCGTATTTGGCAACGCTCGAAGCGGCTGCAGGATGACTGGATGTTGCAGGTTGCGACGGTGCCTCATAAAAGGATTGCAGGGCTGTCTCAACGTTTCCAAGTGTCCCCAATAATTATTAATTGGGGGTTGGTTGTGCATCTTGGGACCCATATGTCGGGCGGGGACTCCTTCAATATAGGTCATGATGGTCCTGCCATTCCGCACAAGAATCCTTCTGTATAGATTCGCGAAACGGTATTGTTCTGCCCACCCAAGGCCATTGTGACCGGGGCACCACGGCAATACTCCTAAAGCTATAAGGGACTATGACTATGACTCGTCCAGCAGTCAGTGTGACATCACACGGGTATTGAAGTGTGAGGTTTCAAAATCGCCCGATCACCATGGAAGCATCTCCAACAAAGCCTCTTTCTCGATGATGTATCATCTGTCATATCTGGTCAGGATCACATGTATATAATATTATATATTCATCATGCCCAAATTGTATTATTTCTGAAGCCCTGGAACTCCCAAGGACTCAGCTCTCTTGCAAAATGACCAATTCATAAATCATCCAAGTTTTCCAATCCCAGTTTGCCCAGTGACAGGGCCGAAACTTGCGCTAGCCGCGCTTCCGAGATGAGGAAGCACCTCAGCATGGATCATGTCTGGCTCAGGATGAGGATTCCCCTTGGCCATTCGAAATAAGGAAAATGAACATAGGGAAAATGATAGTCATGAGGCTAGGTAGAATGATCCCCTCTGTGGCTCTTCCTTGTCTAGAAAAGTGAAAAATGTTTTAAACCACCAAACAGCGTAAAAGGTGTGTTATGTTCTGGTGCAGTATGAAACCCGTCTTCTTATTGAAGTCTGAACAAATGTTGCCATCCTTGAACTTCAGGAGGGCACATGGCCCCGAAAAGACTGAAAAGTCTGGTGTTATACCTTGCGCAACATATGACACATGACTGGAAATTTTAGAGTGATGGTAGAGCGGCAATTCCATATGATATAATACTTCCATTAATTAATATAGCCATGGAATGCCATGTGTACTGTATATATATATAGGATCCCCCTGCAGATTAAGTCAGTACCCCATCTCGATGATATTTGGTCCATAATCCTAAAAGAGGCCCTCTATAGAATCAGAAACAGGAAATCAAAACTCTATAGAATCTGAAAGCCAGTTTCCAAGACAAGAAAAGGGCGTAATAAAAAAAACAGTTTATTTGGAGCACGTGCTCCAAGATTTTGTAGAGGTAATTGGCAGGGGGATTATATAGGTATGATTAAGATTGATTAAGCCCTAAACCCAAAAGAATACCAAGTACCAAGTGTACCATTAAGCCCTAAACCCAAAAGAATACCAAGTGTCAAGTGTACCAATATGTACCAATTCAAGTTGTCCATTGATAGGCAAAAATACCTCGAATCATCTCAAATCTATTGGTTGAACTGCAATCCAAGGCTCCGCAGGCGCAGGGCTCACCGTTGGCTCCGCCACCTCGCCCGGCAAATGCAGCACCGCGGGCGCCGCCCTTTGCGCCACGGGGGCTGCCTGCGCTTCGGACCAGCCGAAGCAATGCATCCTGGTGGCGCTGGGGATGTGAGGGTAGGGATAGGGTAAGGGATGGGGGCAGATTAGGGGATTGGGGTGGAGATAAGTGGAAGTTCCTCCTTGATCTAGGCGGTCCTCCATTTTAAAGCCCCCCGGCCCGTTGTCCTTCGCCCCAGTGGGGTCACCGGCATCATGGCCAGCTGCATGGTAAGCACACTTTCACAGGTTTTCCGCAACGGGCTGCAGCTGGAAATGGCTTGTCCGAAGAGGAAGGTACTGGGATTGTGATGGATTCGGCTTCTGACTGGGCACTTGGGATGAAAAGAAAGTCATGGATCATCTGTGCCCACCTATTCCAAATCTGCCCATGTTTTGGAAGCATGGCCCATCATCATCTTGCTGGAGCTACAAGACAGAGGTGACCACTTCCAGGCTTCAACCATTAGTCAGGAGACTCAGAAGAATCTATCAGAAGTCAGAAATCACTGGTGAATCACTGGTGAATCACTGGTGATTTCTCTTTTTCTTCGGCCAAAAAGATGTCGCCATCGCACCCAGCACGCCCATCCCCGCAGCCCCTCTGGGAGAGGACCGCCATCCCTTTTTTTTCACCACGTGATACACCTGTCACACACCGAAACACCGACAGAGCGGCCGCCCGCAGCGGCTGCCCGCCGTCGGGTGACCTGCCAAATAAATGACATTGGCGTGTTGTTTGTATACTACCTGGTCAGTTGGGACTATTCAAAAGTACTTACCATCTGGTTATTTAACATACAGTAGCCATGGAAAATCATCATTTTTAATAGGTAAACCATCTATAAATGGGCCATTTCCCATGGCTATGTTAGTCATAGCCAGAGGGTAAAACATCTTAAAACCCATGAATCCATGAATCAGGATTGGGATATTTGGGGATCACTTGACCCTTGGTTTACCTGGGATTTTGGGGTCATGTATGATATGTATGGCAACCCTGATATTGGAGTGGCATGGACCAAAGAAGACACATTTGAACAACACATCAATTACATCTGTGGCACCTTCTTATGTTGGATTTCCCTTCTCAAAATGGAGGTGGGTGGAATTTCCATTCTCCAAAAAATAACAGAGTCTTTTTTTAACCAACAGTGACCCAAAATTCTGTGGTTCCCCATGGTTCCCCAGGTCCAAAGATGTTGTATTTTCACCCCCTGGGAAACCCATGAGGCGCACCTTCCCGGGATGTCCACTGAGGTGGATCGTAAGCGATAGAAGATGATTATGCAGCATATTGCACCGTTAATTGGACCTACTTGGACTATAAATCTATATAAATCTTCCAACAAATTAAATCTTCCAAGAAATTCGCCCCCATCAACCCCCCCAAACAAATCCGAGCGAATCGACTCATGTTTCATACCATCCCATCATCTACCACTTGGCAGGTGCTCGTTCAGTCCAAACAAGAGAGGTGACAAATGTTGGTGGACACTCCTCGTTGTTGCAGAACAAATGTTGTCAAGGTCATGCACCCCGCAAGTGACTGTATCAACCAAGGGGTCGAAGTGATTCAGTGATGGGTGCGACAAGTAGTACAATACACGAGTTCCTATGACCCGTCTACGAACAAACTTAAGCTCTCAACTAAGATTTACCCAGTTTAGGGCAGGCACTCCAAAATTTCATGGTTAATGATCACATGGTTAATGAAGATGGCAATTTCTTGGGATATCATCCCCTATTTTCTCCTGCACTCAATGAGTATAACCATGGGAATGGTTCCAGGGAAAGCAGGACACCTGAATCTTTTGTGAAACCAATCGATGAAAACTAGATTCTCCCCCCCAAAAAAAACAAACAAACAGACAAATAAATAAATAACAATAAATAAATAAATATATTTATAACCCATCAACATCCACCATATCCATCCGTCTCCAACCTCCAGAGGGGATCCCCAAAATCCCAGGGAACCCAGGCTCCTCATCGCCGTCGCGAGTCGTTGCGCGCTCGCGAGTCGCGGCGGCCCTTTCTGTTGCCCCGGTAGGAGGGCGACCGTCGCGGTGGGGAGCGAGGCCTGGGCCCAGGGCTGTGGGGGGGGTAGAAACCTCCATGGGCTTAGATGGGCTTAGTATATACCATGATATACCTCAGATAAGATAAGATATGATATGTCTACTGGGGTATTTGATAAGTATTAGTATTAGTATCAACTGAGGTATAAGGTGAAAAATGGTGGTTGAATCATCAAACATGGGGTTTATAATATATAGTACCGTATTCACTATCCCTGGGGGGAATAGATCCAAAGTAAACCCTGGGGTTCTGGGTTCTGCGGTGGTATCTTTATAATATTCAGGGCATGGGATCAGTCAAATCTCTGCCCCAATATGGCCAATTGATGCCACTTAAGTCTATCCCCTCTTCTTCTTGCTCCTACTGTTGGTGCAATGTTCTTGGTTCATCTTGGTTCTATACCAACCATTGACCGGCGTTTTTGCAACCTGTGAAAGGAATCATGCTACAAGCAGTTGATTGTTGTGGGTCCCAGGATTTCACCGAAACAGCAGAGCTGAGCTCCCCCAACGGCGAGCGACGGCGCGAGTCGGAACCTCACTTGCAGATTTTGCTGCTTTGTTGATTCCCTGGTGATTTTTGCTGGTAACTTTTCGGGTATGTGGTAAATCCTTCCCAACCCACCCTACTGACTTGCTTTTAATATATTTGGCATATCATATCTGGAAATGCATTCTCGTTCCCAAGCCTGACATGAAGGCATTTTTGGGTACTTTACCCGACTTACCATCATGTATGGTGTTGTGAGGCCGCTATATTTTGTCCATAAATGTATTGAAATACAAGAATTTTGAAATTTTGTCAGACAGTTTGGATACTTTGTATTTCTGTGACTGTCCAATTCGACATGTTTCCTCTGCACCTAATTTTTGTGTACAATTGAGGAACCCCAAAACTCCCAATGTTCTCCTAAATCAGACTAATACTCGATTTTGGGGATCCCAGTCTTAAGAATCATATCCCATGTCTTGTTTATAGTTATACTTGACTGATGTCATCATAGGTTCCCTTTTTCTTCTTTCACTTGTATTTCTTCACACCCAAAAAAAATGTCTCGAAACAGCAATTCTCAACTGAATTTAGAATTTTCTCATAATCATCATCATAATCTTCAATGTAAAATTCACATATGTTACATAAATTTACCATATCTATCCATAGTTTCCCACCATCAACTGCTGCTGTTCCCCGGTTCCCTTTTTGGGCATCCCCGGACGGCGCCGCGGCGGGGAGCGCCCCCGGGAGTCGCTGCGGCGGTCATCGTCGCCGCGCAGCTTCTCCTGGCGCATCATCATATCATGACTATAACTGGAAAAAATCATGAATGATAACAATGTTGTATGTATAATTATAATATATGTATGTCTATATGTACATATATATGTATACATATGTTATATATGTACATATGTGTGATGTATATAATTATACCCCCAAACTAACATATTTGGAACATGATCACACTTTGACCACTGGCCCACAGCCCCGGTTAGTAAGTCCTGCACGAGCTCGTTCACCAAGCGCTCTGCAGCCTAACTGTGACAAAGCTGGAGGAAATCCTCCAAAAACTTGGATTTTGCCATAGTTTGACCAGCAAAAGCCCGGAAAAATGGCTCGGACTCAGAAAATATGGAGATTTGAGCAACGGCAACTGGGAGATACTGGGAGTGACCCCACAAATCTGAGCTTCAACGGGTTGATTCAACGCAAACTCGTCATCACCTATGGATCAATCCACCAGAATCTCCAAGATCCCAGGATGTACAGAATTAATCATCCCATTTACTCCCCATATTAAAACTGTACATGTACATGAGCCAATATGTATAATATATACTGGTATTATATATATTATTATATTATAATATTATCAAAATATAAATATAAAATAGTATAAATATACAGTATTATATAGTAATATATCATGTAATATATATATATATAGTATTATATAGTTATCCCCACCAAGTCTCCAACTTCGCATCCTCATCCCATCACCAAGGCGCCATCCGCCCGGTGGTGGAAACTTTGGAGCCCAATTCGTGGCTGAAGATGCAGAGCCGCTCGTCTCCGCGACCATCCAGCGCCATGAACATGTAGGTGGCCGTCCTGGTGGGACGTCGCTTGGGAAAAAATAAATCTGGGGAGAGGTTGGATATGGTTGGATGGTGAGCCAATCCGGTAGAAAGTCATCTAAGAAAATCTATGGAAATCTTGGGAGAAAACGAAAAGTCAAGAGATGTCAAGAGAAAACCAGCGTTCTGAAATTTAAAATCCTAGGTTTGAGGTTGGACGTGGACCCAAGGTTTGGTTTTGGTGGAACAATTCTTGGGTAGAACAGACCAATGGAACAGCTCGACGAAATGAGAAAACGAGTGCCGAGATGAAGCGTTTGGATTGATCTACCTGCATCTATTCGTCCAGAAAGAGGGGGAAGATCCCAAAACTATGCTGAGAGAATTATGATGAAGCACTGGATAGTGGGATACCCTCAGATGAGACAAACCCACTTTCTGTATGTCCCAAAATTTGGTATTATGATGCATTATGGTATCCCCCAAATACCCTGGTTAATCATCAGGTTCCCCAATGAATGGCTAGACTCAATTATCCAACATGAAGTAGACAGTATACAATAATTATCCATAGTACTCCATTGTTATATGCCCAAATTTTGGTGATTACATCATCATTTTCCTGGCCATAAATACTGTAATTGATCCAAATCCGCTGGATGTCGCTGGTGAATCATCATGTTCGTGTTCCCCAATAGTATCCCATATCCAATAGCATCCATAAAAAAATTGACGCTGCAACCCCCCTCTTTTTCAGACCAGGCTTAGTGTACACTGCAACCGAGGCTCTCATGTTCCATGCGACGCAACTCGCTACCGCGATTGCCAGTGACCCAGCCCTTGCCTCGTGGCTTTTAACGTTCAGCGGGTGCCGCTCCCGGGATATTGGATGAGTATAGATGAGTAGAACAATGTGGGGGGTTCCATAAATGGAGGTACCTCCAAAACCATGGGTTTCAATACTAAAATGGTCTAATTTTCGACAATTTGGTACCCCTATTTTAGGAAGCCCAATATGGAAGTGTGCATTTCTTCCCTGCTGGATGGTTGTTGGTCTGTTTGAACTTCCAAGTTTAAAGTGTGTGACTATAGACTATACGAGTAGATGATACTAAATTACTAAATGACGAAGTAGTTAGCAGGTGTGAAATGTATTTCTGGTTGGTGGTATACCTACCCCTCTGAAAAATATGAAAGTCAGTTGGAATGATTATTCCCAATATATGGAAAAATAAGAATTCATGTTCCAAACCACCAACCAGATTTGCATGATAATTAATTGTCAGGGCCCAATGACAATTCACCAACTCTGGGGATTCCAAGCCCCTTTTTCTAGCCAACCCTGAGTCCCTGGCAGTTGGCGGGAATATGCATTTCCTCAGTGCCAAATCCCCGGCTTCCACAGAAAGGCAGGTTGGCAGCCGCCAGTGACCCCCAAAATGAGATGATGCAAAACTCAAAACGCATCCTGGAGCGGATCAACACCCATACGAGTACTAAGAAACCTGGACCCAGGTTGCTCATTGGAAGATGTTCCATTTATGTCAATCAATCATCTCCATGGTGGAAAACATGCCATTCATTATCCATATCCGATTTGACCAAGGCTCTGTGCAATCTTCCCGATCCGTCACATCTGGGATCGTCACAGCGCCTGATGAAGGCATGCAGTGCTGATCAACTCCCGAGAATTGGATGCTGTACTAAATGAAATGATCGAAATATCTCTACATATATAAATGATCAGTTCTTAAATGTTCTTAAATATATCAAAATGATCAATTCATATCAATTATTCTAGTTTTGCGCTTCTATATATCATATTTCGATATTGGTACCCAATTTTGACCCATGCCCATTCTGAAAAACAGTTGTCCTATTTCCCCACCTGCCAGGTGAGGGTTGTTAGATTTTATCTAAGTTGCCTGCTCCTCCTCCTCCTGCCTCCTCTCCTCCTCCTCTCGTCGTCCTCCTCTCGTTGTCCTCGTCGTCCCTCTCGTCGTCCTCCTCTCGTTGTCCTCCTCGTCTCGTTGTCCTCCTCGTCCTCCTGCTCAACTGCGACTCGCGATCCACAGTGTTCGCTGCCGGACCTCAACCACGACCATCCACGCCCAGTGTTCCCTGCCGGACCTCAACCACGGCCATCCACGCCCAGTGGTCCCTGCCGGACCTCAACCACGACCATCCACGCCCAGTGTTCCCTGCCGGACCTCAACCACGACCATCCACGCCCAGTGTTCCCTGCCGGACCTCGTGTAGGAAGATAAAATGTCAGATAGAGTGCCAGAAGATTTGCCAGGTAGAATGCCAGAAAATATGCCAGAAGATATGCCAGATAGATATGCCAGAAGATATTTCAGAAGATATGCCAGATAGAATGCCAGATAGAATGCCAGATAGAATGCCAGAAGATATGTCAGAATACATGCCAGAAGATATGCCAGATAGAATGCCAGATAGAATGCCAGAAGATATGTCAGATAGAATGCCAGAAGATATGCCAGATAGAATGCCAGAAGATTTGCCAGATAGAATGCCAGAAGATATGCCAGAAGATATGCCAGATAGAATGCCAAATAGAATGTCACAAGATATGTCAGATAGAATGCCAGAAGATGTGCCAGTAAGAACATGTATAAATGTCATGGTGGGGATCACACGAAGTAAAGTAATTCATATTTTTTGGCCAAAGGAAGATGGTCAGCATCTTCCGCCAATCTTTTGTTTCAATTGTTTTGTGAAGGCCACAGAACTGTAACAATACAAAGGTCACAACTGGATGTTTATCAGAGTTGGCAAGTTCTGAACGGCACTTGATAGCCATGGTACATAAGTACCCCAAGTATCCCTAAGTGGTGGTTATCCCCATTGATCCTAGCGTAACCATGGTACTTGAACATCCAGGCAGGGATGGTAGGGATAACATCCACGAATTTTCGCCACCTTTGAGCTGCTGAAGGAGCCATCCGATGTACTCCTTGCATCTTTTTCGTTCCTGGCGGTGTCCAGTCTGAATGGCAAGTGCTCCCAATGGAAGACCAACAGTGGAACCACATTTCTTTTGGGCTGTGTTTAGCTTTGACTCATTCAGATTCTTAAGGTTGGCTATCTCTGAGTTTTTCAGATTGTCCATCTTATGAAAGAGCTGCACGTATCTTTCGATGTTACGTTCAGGATGGTGTCTATAGAGCAGCTAGGCCTTCCCCAGTTTCCACCAGGAATGTCAAGTTAGCATCCCTCAAAAGTCACCCCGAGTCATAGCAGATGCCATCAGCTGCACATCGGCGCCTTCAAAATTCCTGCCATGAAGGCATAGCGTCCCACAAACTGCAGAATGCAGCCCGCTGCCTTAAGGTTGGCAGGTCACGGTATGGTCATCCACAGGATCCACAAAAATCCAGGTTAGCGGTACACCTTGACTGATAGCAGTAGGTTGTACACTTGAGTTCAAACCTCCAATGGCTCAGAAAAATGTGCAATGAAATGACATGTGACATAGCCAAACTAACTGGTCCCAAAGTATCTCGCCGACCCAAATTTTGGCAGTGGAATTCAATGTTTGATCCCACTGAATCCTGAGATCCTACACTGAGATCCTACAGGCCTTCTCGATCTTCTTCTGAGTCGCAGCTTCCTTACCGATGACATAGCTGAGCTCATCTTCTTTGATGGCCTGATGGTTCCCCGTTGGACATCAACACTGATGGGTATCTCCAATCATTTGATTTGAAGGTGCTCAAAATCCTCACAGACAGTTGAGGAAAACCCCATCACAGGAGTACCTCCTCAAAGTCTATTTTGCAACTGGCTCATGGCTATCGTTTTATGGCCATAGTCTTACTCGCAGAAGTTGCTTCCAGAAACCTCAAGAGCCTCCCAAACTCTAGATGTTCCAGCATTGTTAGGCATTGTTATCATTCCTCCAATCCCATCGGTTGAGTCATTGTTTTCCTCCAATCTCAGGTTTACATGCCCTGGCTGGACATCAAAATCAAAACTGGGCCCGGCACCATACGATCAGTGTCAAAGCCTCGCGAGTCTGACAACTTCTCCCTGGCATCACAAGGCGCCAGCATCACTTTTTCAAAGCAATTCACCATCAACACTACAATGATGGCTCATTTTGGGGCATCTCCGCCATGTTGAGACAAACCCATGTCACTCAAAAAGAAAATCAAATAGACCGTTTTCTGACCATACCTTCGGGGGTGTCAATTCAGGGCCATGGCTAGCAAATGACATGCTTCAAGTTTTTGGGTGCTTTCAACATGACAAGGGCCTCAGGCCGCGTGAGAAGTGCCCTGGGGCCTTGCGCGTTTGCTCAGGGTGAAGGATGCGGTGGTGGATGGTGGTGGGTTGAACAACCCCAAAGGTAATGTGCCGTGTAAGTGCCACCAAAATGGGGAAAGAACCAAGGAGAATCAGGCTATGTGAGCACTGGAAACTGATGAAACTGGTCTTTTAATCACCCCTTGACTTCTTCTGGACCTCCCAGCACAAGTTTTGCCTTCTTTTCGATCTCGTTCATGCACTTCAGCTCGGCGCCTGGATGAGGCCGTCCAAGACGGAGAGACGGAAGTGAGGTGGATGATGATTTCATCATTGAGTTGAGAAAAAAGCAGTGTTCTATCATTCCATTACACTGGCTGGTTAGTAGTTGGTAGATATGATATGATATTCCCATCATGGATTGTGATTCCCAAATAGATTGGATATGATTGGATAGTATAACCCCCTACAACAATTAACGAGCAAACGTTCAATATATAATATGAGTCTCTTCCCCAAACAGGTCACGAGAAGGCAATAGACGAATAGAACTGGGTCAAGTCAAATCCTGGCTTCAACCTGGGATTGACCTCTGGTGCCCTGGCACCGACAGAACTTTGACCAATACCCAAATGGGTATGGCTCAAAAGGGGTACCAACGGACCCGTATAATTAATAGGTCATCTTGGCCTATTTTATCTATGACACCATCCAATTTCGGGCTCAATAATGGTCGAACTATAGCCATTCTCATTTGCGGGTACAGTCAATCATTGGATCCGTCATGATCCGTCCTTTGAGGATCCATCTTTTTACATAAACTGGAAAATCCGATCCATGTCCTTTTCTCAATAAACGTATCAGCTTACACACATCCCATCCCGATCCATATCTGGATGCCCTGCCCCCTGCCTCTGCGGCCCCGCTCGTTGCCGCAGATGATGAGCTTCTCCGCCTGCCCCGAGCGGCCGCCCTTCTCGCCGTCCTCCAGCCGCCGGAGGGAGAAAGGTGGCCATGTTTGGAAGGGACGACTTCTTCGGTGCGAAAAAAATGTTCCAAGTGATCTTACTTCATGGAAGAATTGAGTAACAATCTGGTAATAAAGACGAAAAATATCGAAAATTCTTGTAAAAAAGAAACTAAAGCCCCATGATTTCCTGAAATATGGGTTCCTTTTTGAGTAATATCCAATTTACACCAATTTACACCAACTTCCACCTGAAAGGTCTAGGGTGTCTGACCCACATTGCTGCTACAGCAGCTTCATGGATCCCTGTCCTTGGTCATGAAGAACATGAGGGTTCCCCACCTTGGAAAGCGTGGCTTTCCCATTGATGCCCTGCTGGTAGGCCGGCCCATCTTCATCCATGTCTTCTGAAAAACGGTTGTCATTTGAACTCTTGGTTGTCGTTGTTGTTGGTCAAAAAGCTCCCTTCATTCCGCAAGGATTGTGGCTTGATAACGCTGATTTTTGGTGGGTCAGTGTATGTAGGCGTATCTGAAATGCCAATGGATTGTCATCACTTTCCCCATTCAAACGGCCATAAATTGTGGTATACTGCACGTTTTGTCAAACCCATGTGGATGTCAGCAACTACCCGTTTAGGTTTGTCTGAAAATTCTAGGACATCCATGTTCCTACGTATTACAATTGCAATTTTATGCAATGTTACGATAGTTTACCTCAATCCCCCCTTTCCAGACCGACCCAAATATCATAATTGTCAGTGTTGGTTATCTCACCTTTATCATATTTATAGTGGCTATATATATATATTCCTATTGAATCCCCAAAATATAGATATATCTACCATAAACATCCATAAACCATATACCCTCTGGTAAACTAACATAGCTATGGAAAATCATTATTTGAATAGGTAAATCCCCTATAAATGGTCCATATTTCATAGCTGTTAGTTTACCAGAGGGTAGTTATTGGAGCTATAAACCATATATTTATTCCCAACATAGATATATATCTTATCTACCATAAACCATATAGTTATTGGAGTTATAAACCAACTCAACATCCCCCAATTTTTATTGGTGAACTCCACCGCGCCCCAGGCTGCTATATCTTATCTACCATAAACCATATAGTTCTTGGAGCTATAAACCAACTCAACATCCCCCAATTTTTCTTGGTGAACTCCACCGCGCCCCAGGCTGCTATATCTTATCTACCATAAACCATATAGTTCTTGGAGCTATAAACCAACTCAACATCCCCCAATTTTTCTTGGTGAACTCCACCGCGCCCCAGGCTGCTATATCTTATCTACCATAAACCATATAGTTCTTGGAGCTATAAACCAACTCAACATCCCCCAATTTTTCTTGGTGAACTCCACCGCGCCCCAGGCTGCTATATCTTATCTACCATAAACCACAACTCAACATCCCCCAATTTTTATTGGTGAACTCCACCACCCCCCCCAGCGGCTGCTGCCCGGCAACTCCTCTTCCATCCGGCCCAAGGTGGCACGGCGGCTGCCGGTGATGTAACCGATGCAGTCACTGGGGACCTGCTGGGGGCTGTCCCCAGATTTTCGGGGGAAACGATCCAACATATCCCCCTGGATTTCCATGGGGAAAATCATGGGAAATTGATGATGAATGATACAAACATCAAATCTGGATAAATCTCTGGGGGTAGCCTAGCCTATCACACAGGTCTAGTTTGTGAAGCTCGCTAGGACAATTCCACGTCATGGGGGAACACCCCAACGTTTGTTTCTCGCACTCCAGAGGTGATGGAATATGGGTATGGGCCAGAACCGGAATGACCTACAAAGCCGCTAAATGGATGTTCGTCACCTCGAAATTGGCCCTATAGATACAATAAGTATTGGCCCATCCCAATAATCATCCTCCACATATTCTTGTATAGTCAGAATACTTCAAGTCATCCAGACTCCGTACTTCAGCAATTTTCCCACGCAGTTGGAGCTGAAAGAAGCACGGCCACACAGATTCCACGCACACTGAGTTCTGGACGTGAACAACACCTTGGTTTCAACATCTGTGCGCCCCCAATGAGTTTAAGCATGATTGAGACCTTGATCTCCTGATCTCTTGGGATGTCAAGAGTCCTAGTTCTGAACAGCTCCACCAATATCTTTCGCCATCTCCACCAATCATGTTGGGAAAGTTCAGTTATGCTCTTATGGAAGGTCGCTTCAACGTAGAAACACCATTTGGGTCGCCCCAACCACAGCAAGAAACACCCGAACTGCTGTATAGCAAAGGCAACTGTCATTTATTCTAACTTTGTCAATGTAGATTTTAACATATTTTAACATACAATTAACAGTTGTAGTATCAATTGTAATACGTAATTAAATAATCTGAAATAGTCGCATCCCCTTTCGACATTCTATTCCTATGCTTTCACACTCGATCAACATCCGCTCGCCAAGGGGCAGCAGTCGTCACGATCCTCCCAGCCGTCCACATAAACGGGACCTTCTAATTGGGCGAAGAGCCACCTGGGCTAAGCTGGGGCCCGGGGAACCAGATGGTTCCTATGTGGCCAATCAAACGTGGCAAGTGGAAAATACATCTAATTGTAGATGAAAATGAGGGTTTTAGTGGGAAAATCATCTAAAGATGGGGGATTTAAAATTGTACCATGCTTGATTGGAAGAGGGTATTCCTGTGAGATTGACGGTTCTTCCTTTTCAGGTTCCCTTCAATTCTGGGATCCTAGGTCAAATTACTCGGATTCCTGAACTTGACAAGTGGTTGGTGCTCGTATCCCAGTATTTTATTCCAGGTATGAGGGGTTGCAAGCCCGGCTGCAAACCATCAGTCAAAAGTGATAGAAAGTGTATATACGTGTTATATAATGTTATATATATATGAGTTACCACTGTTTTTGTAAGATTTTAGTTTCTGATGTTACTCTTCAATTTTTTTGGAGGTTGCTATTACTGGTTCCAGTCTTCATCCCAGTCCCCATCCTGCCGCCACTCACCGGGCTCCGCCACTTCATGTAGTCCTTTGCACGGCGGCGTTCCGCCCGGGTCCCTGAGAACAAACAGGTGTGGCCCACGTACCTTGGTAGATGGAGACACCGGACATGGCTTGGTTAAGGATCTGTTGTGGGGGGTCGTATCATGGGTTCTCAATGGTTCTCATCTAGGTTGCTTGGTTGCTTGGTTGCTTGGTTGCCAGTATTGAGACCACAAAGTACTTGGTGGCCGCCAACGGTTTCACTAAGTTGGCTACTACAAGCAAATGCACAGCAATTGTTGAGCAGGTTGATCAGAATAGTCGTTTCTAACCTATAACAAAGCCATGGGTTACTATTGCTATATCAGTCAGTTACGACCAGTTACGGACGGTTAATTTTCTATGACCTATAGCCCAAAACAACAGTCCCTACAGCTGCCTGAAGTGCAAACCAAGGATCTGCACGATGCAGCCTGTACAAATTCGAACAGCAGCCAGTCTTCAATCCGGCTGGTGGTCTCAACCCTGTGAAAATAGCCCTCAATGGAGGATTACTGTATCGTTCCAAGTACAGGTGGAACATCCGGAACCCTTCAAAGACACAAATCAGCAATCCATCACCATCTGTTGCCCTTCCAAAGATGGTATATGTGCATTTGATGGTATATGTGTGAACATGACTCTAATAAAGGCACAGGCATGTAGCAATACATCCCGTACATGGATGGTAGGGGATTTGTACTTCATTTAATGAAGAGCCATTGCACTTCAAACTGAGGAGGGATCGACCTGGCAGACCCCTCAACTTCTTCAACTGCCACACAGTATCAGCCAAGCAGAAAATGTCGTAACAAGACTCTCAAACCATAATATACTTCCAAAAACCAATCTCCCAATCTATATATAGTCTATATATAGTCTATGTATAGTCTATATATAGTCTATGTATAGTCTATATATATAGTCTATATATTAGTCTATATATATATATATCATTAAAAAAAAAAAACTATAATTATATATTAAAATATCACAAAATCTGAGACACCTTAGGCACATCATGGCACATCAATATCCTTCCCAAAGCTCTCACCTGATGCCCGCTCCAGCTTCTTGCGGGTGCCACCCTGCTTGCCCAAGGCGTACGAGAGCTCATCGTCCTGCAACAACGGTAGATACGGTAGATATGGAACGGAACGGTTGAGCCCCAAACATTCAAGAAATATGGCCTGAAAATGGTGGGTATACCGGTATATCCCAGTAAATCATCATGTTTTTTCTGCTGTCATGTTCAATTTTGGGGGTGTCCACCATTTTTAGGCAAATCCAAGTGGTGAAATTCTAGGCGGAACCGCGTGAAATTGGGATTATCATCAAGCAACAGTGTTGTGGGTGTCACCATAACGGATGAATCAGTGACCCCTCAAGAAGATCCATGGCCACTGAACTATTTTGAAAGCACAAAGGAAATCGGGCCATCTCAGTACATCACGCAGCGGATTGGCTGAGTCTCCAATAACATCCTATGACTGTCCCTTTTCTCCTAGCACTTCCTAACCATTTGCTGACAGCTACCCTTCAGGAAACCAACCTCCACCATGAAACTAGATAATTTACCCATCATTACCCATCAAAATCGGAAAAAACATATAGCCACCATCCTGGTTTCATCACCAGTGGGTCACCATCCTCAACCCACCAGCCTGGAAGGTCATGGTGTCAGTGGACCAGGTGCCTTGGAGAGAAACTCTCCCATTGAAGGGATGGTTCGTTCGTCGTTACCACAGTGGGGTCAGCCATGCATCGTTCGTTTGGAAACCGTAGAGTTATAGGAGTTGATCCATTGTCGGCATGGGAAATCTTCGATATATTTGAAGCCAGTGGACACGCTCAGCGGATGACTTGGAGGTCCCACCATGTTGGACCGATCTAAAGTACCTGACCCTGTGACCCACTGATCTGTCCCTTTTCCAACCTTCAGGATCCTTTCCCTTGTCGCGGTCGATCACTTCGTTCTTGATCTTCCCCAGGTAACCTGGAGCGGGAAAAAAGAGGGGCCCTCCCATCCTCAATCATTCCACATTCATGAACAAATGCCTAAATGGCAGTGTGTCAAAACCTTGGTACCCCTGTAGTTCACATCAAAATAGCTGGGTTAAAATGGATGTTCATCCCATTAAAAATGGTATTTTCATAGGTATTGATCCATAGCCAAATAGGTTTCTCCATGGTGACTGTCATGGTTTCCCATTAAAAATGGTGATTTTCCAGTTCGCTATGTGAAATTACCAGAGGGTATATTCCCAATTATAGCCATTTAATAGGGATAATGATCATTAACCATTGGGTTTAGGGGTACACTATATATCATATTAAACAAAAACATCTGAAACAAGGTCCCACCTGGGCTCTTGGTCTCGATGGCGCTCAGCACCTTCAGCTCTGCGCCACGGCGCCCGCGGATGTCGCCGAAGATCGCCAGCTTCTCGAAGTCCTGGCCACGCCGGCCACGGCGGGGGCCGGGGCTGGTGGGATGCCAGGGCTGGGGATGAGGGAAAAACATGGAAAAACTCGGGAAAAATGGTGGAAAGCTTGGGAAAATCGAGGAAACATGTATGAACATGTATTCATATGATTGAAAAGAGATGAAACTGAAGATAGAAAAAATGGAGAAACATTGATGAAGCCAATGGCAAACAAGAGGAGGAAAAATTGAACATGAATGGAATGAAGGGCAAAAACATGAAAAGGGAAAAAGCACAGTAGAGAAATGTTCAAAATCTATGAAAACTGGCAACATCTTATGAAATGGAAAATAGAACAAACTGTCTTTAAATGGAAGAAGAGATGCCTTTTTGCTGTGACAAATGGTTTGAGTTGGTGATTCACCATCCCTACATGAAAATCATCGTCGTAAAAGTCATCATGTATCATCATCATAACCTCCATAATATCCATCATCATCATCATCATCATCATCATCTTCATCATCTTGATCTACGTAAACTGAATCTTTAGCTCATCTACCCGCAACCTCCAAAAAAAGGACATCCACTGCAGGCTCCAAAGCACGTTCAATCTGACCAGGTCGGTCCTTGTCGCGCCGTCCAGAACCCACTTCACAGAAGAACATCAGAGTACCCCACCTGGAAGTGAGGACGGAAGGCCAATGGTATCAAGGGGGTTAACTGAGAAATAAATCGAAACAACAAAAATCTGGTTATAACAATGTGGATGTTTTATTATATATATATATACCAGGATATATGACCAACCATGTCTCTATGACATATGGGTTTGTCCATAAATTGGGAATCACCAAAATGGCCACTTTACACGGAGAAAATATGAGAAACTTATGACAAACCATGGGATTTCAGGAGCCCTATTTTCTCACAACCCCATATGTAGCCGTGAATTTCTAGTGGGCAAGTGATATGTGCCCAACATGGTCCAAACATCTCCAAACTGACCCTATGATGGTCATTGACTAGGCGATAGCTTCAACACCAAGCAGCTCTTCTTCGATGGTTCGAAGGAAATTGCCAGCCCTTCCCGTGACGAAGCCGACCTGGAACGAATCATCGGTTGCTGTGGAAACATCGAATCATCCTGGAGTATGACCCTGATCCTTCGATTCTTCGATGTGTCAGTAAAGAATATTCTGATATGGTCCTGCTCAGAATTCTATACTTTTGGGCTTGCTCCATCATTGTGGGGAACCTGCCAACCCCTGAAAATTGTACGTGGTTTTCCGTCGAAGCCGGCTCTTCCACACTCTTCCGCATGGTGGTTTCATCCCAACCATTCAACTGGGAAATACAAACAATAAAGCTATAAATATATAAAATTACGCATATAAAACTGATTAAAACTGAAACATCTATAAAATTCTATAAACATCTTATGGTTTCGGAACCACCAACCAGCTTCAGTGCCAGCTTCAGCGAAGCATCTCTAGCAGCCCTTGACGGATGTCGAGCAGCCGTCTCTTGCGGTACCATGAGCATCGTCAGGTCATCATCGTTGTACCTTGGGGATGGGAAGCGCCAACCTGTGGCAGGGATATCTTGGTTTGAATGGATATGTAAATGTATAGAATTGTATAGATATGATATATATATATATATAGATATATTACATATTAATACAATTAATACATATTAATACATATGATTCATATTAGCAGATTTAAAAAGAATGGACCCAACCCCTCACCATCGGGCCTGTCATTGTTGGCAACAGTTCTATGAAAAAATATACCAACATCAGCTGTATATTGATTATATAAAATATCTATCGAATATCTATAGAATATCTATATAGAATATCTATAGAACACCCGAATTGACTCTTGCGCTCAGCTACTCCTCGGTGATGTTGACCGGGCCAGTGCGTTGTGCCATGACACCTTCACCTCAGATGGGGCAACGTCATCCTGGCTGCTCTTTGAGTGACCTAAATGTCTTTTAAGTGCGGCCCTAAGCCACCAACGTGCTGGTTTTAATATGTTTTCATGGGATTCTCAAGGAGATGTATCGTAATAACTTTCGTGAACTATTACGATATCACCAAAGTTATATTGATGTATTACTAAAGTTATTACATCAATATAACGTAACTTTTCGACATCACTATACCGCTGCCAAGCGTCAATATTTCTTGGCTCGCCGGCGTTGAACCTTCGACCCGCGGATCTCCTGAGGCTCCGCGGCTGATCTGTTGGGGTTGGGGGTCGCACCCAAAAAAGGGTCCCAAATGTCCCAACATTATCTATATAGTTAATGGATGTTAATGATTAATGGGATTATAAACCAACTTCCCAACATTTCACCAACATGACATGGCTATACATTCACCAATCTCAATGATCAATATGATCACCATTCTGATCCCTGGAAAAAAATATCCCATCCAATCATCCAGAAAAAAATCGCTAGACAGAACATGATGATGCAAAGCCTGCCCTCCGGCTTTGGGCTGTCAAATATTTTTGTATATGTGTGTTATCAATGTGTCAACGGCAATGTCACCGGCAACGTGTCACCGTCCACGTTGTCCATCATCGCCAAGGCGCCAAAATCAGGTCCCTCTCAAAGAGTTCGATCTCGGCGCCCGAGACGCGTGCGATCCTCGGAAAAGGCAAGCTGGGATTTATAGACCCCCTGCTATTTCCCTGGCTGGTTTCATGGCAGAATGATATGGCAGTGTGTCAAAACCTTGTACCCCTGTAGTTCACATGAAAATAGCTGGGTTAAAATGGATGTTCATCCCCCTAAAAATGGTATTTTCATAGGTATTGATCCATAGCCATACTGCAAAGCAATGCCTGATTCTCTTAGCAGATTTGGGACAAATGGCTGGATCCTCTGGAGAGTCTCGTCCAACGTCACGGAGAGCAAAGGCCACAGGGCCATGGGCAAAAGAAAGCTCGAAGACATACATATCATACATTAGATTCATCAAATAAAAAAAGTTGGGTCCACTTTGATGATCTGCAAAATTGGTTTCTCAAGACTACACAGGGTTCTATAATAGTTCTATAGTTTATCCTTGGGGCTCCAATATGGTCCAACAAATTGTGAACTGCCTCTGGCATGCCGCACTCCAAAGCCGAGTCACTTCTCTTTGGTCTTGCCACCCTTTCCAAGGATAAAGGCGGCATCGTCGTCCGTGATTTTGAGGGTATCTACCTGCTGGATGGCAACCCTCCGATACCCACCAGGTCTATGTCTTGGGAGCCGGAGACTCATGGGTGAAAACGGCACCACGGAAATTGAAAGTAACGATTATATATTGATCGTGGCTCTGTATCCATTTCTGTGGCTTTGATCTTATGCTGCTGGATTAGATGAAGTCGAAGCTGCTTTCGATTGTTTGTGGCAGGGTGCACAAAAGGGGTGCCAATTTGAATTGATCTTCCTTGGTGCCCCTCATTTACCATCACTCACATTGACTGGATGATATTCCGGAGGCTGGCCGGCACCAAACATCTGCTGCAAGTTGCTCTATGTGCCATGATCAGCCATGACCATCCATGTGGAATCCTGGTGATGCTACATAAATCGATCTGAAAAGCGATTCCGGGCATCAGCATGTTGCAGCGCAAATCATGCCTTTAGCCCTTTAGCCGTTGGCCTTTGTAAGGCCTCCCATTCTGACCCACACCCATCTGCACAAGAAACACCACTTTGGCCAAGCTGCGCCATAGTCCTCCGGCCTCTTCTCTCTTCCGCCCTGTCAAAAGCAGGACTTCATGCCACACCCAAATGGAAGTTATGAAGGATGTCAAGGGTCATTGTTCATCCACCCTAGTAGCGCTATCTCACTGACAATAGTCAAGAAACAGTGTTCGACTTTCATTGCGCAAATGACCCTGAATGTACAGTACTTTCATGAGTTACACAACTTTCGAGCCAATTGCTCAAAGACTAGGAGGCACTGAAGCCTTTCCATCCGCTCACTTTTGAACCCATTGGCTGCACCATCCAAATCAGAGCCAGCACATCTTTGGCACCGCTCCAGTCACACATTCAAACACTGCAAATGGCCGATAGACTTTTAAAAATTTTAGGCCCAGCTATCCCAAGCCGCCGGCATCAGCATGCGTAGTGTGAAAGGTAAGCCACATGGTGCTCACCTTGTGCCACATAGTGCTGGCGCACCTCTAGACGAAGTGGCCATGACTGCCATGACCCAGAAAGCCACATGCCAGGTCCATAGCGCCAGTTTGCGCCAGTTCATGTCTCTAGATTCTCTAGGTGGCCAACCTGGCCATACCTGCCATACGCTGTGTCTGCGTCCAACTTGCCGCGCCCGTGATCTTCACCGCATCGCGTGGCACCTGAGAGCCACTTGTGCCGGAACCAGTGCCATGGTCGTCATAGTGGCTGCATCACCTGTTGGTAGCTTTGGAGAGGCACCCAGTGGACATCCTAAAAGCCTGTCATCTTGGTCACTTTGACGGGCAAACGTCGAGATATGTCGAGATCTTTGTTGCATCTTTGCATAAGTCAAAAGTTGTGGCATCTGTACATGCCACCTGTTTCTCCACGAATTGCAACCTGGATCACGCCACGGCTGCGTTGAGAACACCGTTCAGCAAGTCGCACAATCGTCCACTGATCGAAGCATCGAAGCAGATTTCGGCCTGAGGTTGCCAAGGAGAGAAATGGATACAATGATGGGCCCCTGCAGAAATATGCAGAAATCGGGTAGATAGACTTCCTTACAGTATTTGATCTTATTTGATGTTGTTTGATGCTATTTGATGTTGATTGTAACTGTCTCAGTTTAACAGGTTAAGATTGTTTTAAATGGTGGGTTCTCCGTTCTGTTGGTATGTAGGAGTTGATTGGAATTTCAACACCCAACTCAACACCCGATCTCTATCCACTTCTGAATGGTAGGGGCCTGTCAAGTGTGGGGTACGAATTGATCGGGTCTTTACGGAAAATGAGAACCCTGCAAATCCGCTCCTCTCTCAAAATCTAGCAGAGTCAAAGTTTGAGATCGACCCAACAAAAATTGCTCATTTTTCTGCCAAGACACAACTGGGACCCACACCAGCTGCACATCTTCGTCTGCGGCCCCTTTGCGATGGACCATGGATGACATTCTCAGCCCTATCAGGTCCAGCCAAGGCCAAGAATCTCAGGATCTCCGTCTTTTTACGACTTTTTTTTGAGGTGCACGGCCATCTCCACATGGGCACTGCAAGGGAAGTGATCCAACAGCACCATGCGACACAACTCGTGGCTCTTCAAGAGCACCTGGCATGGAATGGTGGGATGGTGGGATGGTGAGATGGAGGACATGAAGGGAAAATACCAAACCAACTTCACCAGCAAAGGGAGGGGACCCTAATCAAAATACAGGTATCGGTATTAGTATTGAACTTCGGTTGATTTTAGAATTTGACCTCAAAAAAAAATGACATACTCCCATGCCATCTTGGGAGTGGAAACCATCCCAACAGTGAAGCAGTTCCACACGGCACCTCCAGGTTGGACTTCAATGCCAAGGGATTGCAAGAAACGTAGAGAAGATGTTCATATCCTGCAATCAGTCCATAAGTTGACACGTGTTAGAAACAAGATCCTGGGACAAGGGGACAACTTCACTGGGGGAGCGATTCGTTCATTGTCTGATAGTCCTCGCACACCAACATGAAATAAGTTTCACAAATTGCCTTGGGTCACAACCATTCCTTTTAGAAAATGGATGTGCTGGTCTAATAGTCATAGTCTAAGCCATCTTCAACACAGAGAACCCTCCATCTGAAATACTAAAGTGCAGATGTATGTTTACAAAAAGGGGGTCCCGGAGTTTTCCGTAAGAATATGGTTCAATTTATGTTTTATGAAATGCAGTTCACACGTTGTTTTAGTTTCATAAATAGCAAATCCATGTTTCTCACGAAGGCCGACCGTCCTGAAACGGCTTCCAGCGTCACAGGATCCAAGCCAGCTCGTGGAGGGTCCACCACCTGTCTGGCTCTTGACGAAAAAATCATACGTAAGCCGTGAACAATACCCGAGAAACCTACTATTTTTTGTGTTGAGTGAATCATGTATATATATATATGGCAGTGTGTCAAAACCTTGTACCCCTGGTGAAGATCAAAATAGCTGGTAAATGGATGTTCATCCCCCTAAAAATGGTATTAATAGGTATTGATCCATACCCATATATTATCCGCCGACCCCGGCAGACGCAAGGGGGAGTGCGTAAGGGAAAAAGAGTTTATGACACAGCTGCCAGGAAAGAATAATAATAATTCGCTGACCCCGGCCGATGCAAGGGGGAGCGCGTAAGGGAAGAAGAGGTGCTGCACTGCTACTTTTACTACCAGGCAGCAGCAGGCAGCAAGAACAACAACAACAACAACAAGAACAACAACAAGAACAACAACAAGAACAACAACAAGAACAACAACAAGAACAACAACAAGAACAACAACAAGAACAAGAACAACAACAACAACAACAAGAACAAGAACAAGAACAAGAACAACAACAACAACAACACCAACAACAACAACAACAACAACAACAACAACAACAACAACAACAACAACAACAACAACAACACACAACAACACACAACAACACACAACAACACACAACAACACACAACAACACACAACAACACACAACAACACACAACAACACACAACAACACACAACAACACACACAACAACACAAACAACACACAACAACACACCACAACACACCACAACACACACAAGAACACACAAAAACACACAAGAACACACAACAACACCACAACACACCACAACACACCACAACACACCACAACACACCACAACACACAACAACACACAACAACACACAACAACACACAACAACACACAACAACACACAACAACACACAACAACACACAACAACACACAACAACACACAACAATACACAACAAATACACAACAATACACAACAATACACAACAATACACAACAATACACAACAACAACAACAACAACAACAACAACAACAACAACAACAACAACAACAACAACAACAACAACAACAACAACAACCACAACCACAACCACAACCACAACCACAACCACAACCACAACCACAACCAACAACAACACACCATGACCCTTTGCCGGGGGACTCTCTTGAGTCCCCCTCCCACCGGTCACGTACCTCGATTCCTTGACTCCGGGGTTTTTGTTTCACCGGTGGGGGGTCCTTCCCGGAGTCTCCTCGAAGTACGTGGGGCTCCTTGGGTTGCCCTTCCTGCCCTGAGTTGCAGCAAACAACAATAACAAATAACACCAAACAACAACAAACCAACAACAACAATAACAACAACAACAACAACAACAACAACAACAACAACAACAACAACAACAACAACAACAACAACAACAACAACAACAACAACAACCACAACCACAACCACAACCACAACCACAACCACAACCACACACCATGACCCTTTGCCGGGGGACTCTCTTGGGTCCCCCTCCCACCGGTCACGTACCTCGATTCCTTGACTCCGGGGTTTTTGTTTCACCGGTGGGGGGTCCTTCCCGGAGTCTCCTCGAAGTACGTGGGGCTCCTTGGGTTGCCCTTCCTGCCCTGAGTTGCAGCAAACAACAATAACAAATAACACAAAACAACAACAAACGACAGGAAACAACAACCAACAACAACAAACCATGACCCTTTGCTGGGGGACTTAGCAGGCAGGAGCAGGCAGCAGCAGGCAGCAGCAGGCAGCAGCACGCAGCAGGCAGCAGCCTATAGTGTATAGTCTTTAGTCTACATAATTAGGCAGCAGCAGCAGCAGCAGCAGCAGCAGCAGCAGTAGCTGTTTCTTGCTTTGGAAGCTGTTTGATTGCCGTAGCACAACAGCAGCACCACAGCAGCACCACAGCAGCACCACAGCAGCAGCAGCAGCAGCCACCAGCAGCAGCACCAGCAGCAGGCAGCAGCAGGCAGCAGCAGGCAGCAGCAGTAAGTCCAACAGGCACCAGTAGCAGCAAAAGCGTCTGCAGCAGCAGGAGGAAAAGGTAGCCAAAATTCATTTTCTATGGGTTTCAGAAGTTACGTTAGGCATTTTCGGGGTGCAATTTTGGGGCTTCTCCGTCCTTCAGAGGCATGGTGTTTTCCTGCCGGCAGGTGATTTTTTTCATAGTGTTTTCCATCCGGGAGCCAGCAGCAGCAGCAGCAGCAAAAGTCTGTGCAGCAGCAAGAGGAAAAGGTAGCCAAAATGC